TCTAGTAAACATAATGTTCCTCATGTAATTGTAGATTAATGATACCAATAAATAAATAAATAAATAAGTAAAAGTAGACCTACATACAATTTTAAATAAAAAGAGAAAATTAATTACTAACATTTGAAAATCAGGAGATTTTACCAAAATAATCCAGATTTCCAGCTCTGGCAACACCAGGCCACCTGGCTAGCCCTTTCAAATGAAGAAGGAACTCTCTAGCACCCACCCAAGGTGCACTTCATTCCTTTATGTGCTGGCTGGGCCTTGTGAACATCTGAGTCCCCCAATTTAAGGGAATTATTTCCAACTAAGGTATTCTGGGAGAGTCAATCCACTATTAATTGAACTTGAGTCCCTCACACTCACTTGAAGAGAAACCTTGTAAGGGACTGAAGACTCCAAAGTAGAACATGGAGAAATTCATATGCCACTTGGCCAAAGAGGGTACACCAAAGGCAGATACACAAATACTACCAGCATCGAAAGGGACAAACAGAATAAAAGAATTCTTCAATCTCCATTGCGTACTTGTGCAAATTCTGCTCCCAGTGTTTTAATTTCTGATGATCGTGGCACTTGATCCCTGGGCTCCAGTTTACTGTAATATTTCTCAAACATCTCTGTCTCAGTTTTGAGGGCAGAGTTTCCATAGCTGTAAGACAGTGGATACCTGAGTAAGCTTTACTAGTAGTTTAAACACCAAATAACTAGTACTTAACACATGCTGGCTATTATAACCTTCTTCAAGATACTTAACCTCTGAATGCTTCAGTTTCCTTATTTGTAAAAAGGGAATAACAACAGCACCTATCTTTTTGGGGCTGTGATAAGGAATGCAAAGCCTTTAAGATAGTGCCTGGCACACAGTAAATGCTATTTAAATATCTGATGTTTTAAAAATACACCTAATGAGCCACTAAATTCAGGGAACTGGGATTATATTAAAAATTGTTGCTCAGATGAAGCTACAAACTTCATCTTCATGTTCTAACTCACTTGTGAAATTCCTTCTGAATTACTATAGTCTTGAAATTATACACATCCACAGTCTTCAGATGTTTCCTTTGGTTTATGTCTCTCAGCTCCTTTATTTCCAGCACCCAACAGATGAAGTTTATTATTGGTGGAAAACTTTGGTTTTTAAACAGTTGGTTTTCAAACAACTAGAGGTGACAAACCTAGTTTATCCTGTGCATACCAAGATTATGACATTTATAACTTAACTGCATATTATATATAACAAACCTATTATATATAAGTATATACATTATGCTTGTGTATGTACAAATAAGAGAACAGCTTTGATATTTTCTTATATTATTGAGCTAATTCCTGTTTGGCTGAATGTTAAGATTAGTGGAAAGACCAATGAAATCAGAGTCTCTTTCTTTTTCAGCATATGTCATATTCTTATCGTAGGGTGTGGAGTCACACCTGAATCTGAATTTCAGCACTACCACTGACTAGCTGTGTGACATTAGTAAAGTTACTTAACTACTGTGTCTTTGCTTCCTCACCCACCTCCTAGGGTTACTGGGTCATTAATATAGGGTCAGATATGCAAAAGACTTGGCACATATAATCATTCAAAAAAATGTAGCTCTTAGAAGTAACACCTCAGTTCTGACCTAAACTATCTGTAGACATATATAAGTAACATTCATTTAGCTACCAGAGACTGGAAATTCTGTGTGAGACCAATAAATTGTACAGTTTACCTCAACTACATCATGGAATCTTGATATCCAATTTACTTGCTATATTAGACATAAAACAAACTGCAGAAAGACCCCCAGAATATTGGGTCAATCATTCTTTGCTGTCCATCTCCAAGCTTATACTCTGATTCAGGTATAAGTTGCCTTATACTAAAAACATCTCAATAGCTTCCTTTCTATCCAGCTGCCATATTGATCTTATCACAGAGTCTTAGCATTGGAAAAAGGCTGGGAGATCACCTGGTCCGGTCCAACCTGCTGCCGAACAGTAGAAAGGCGGCTAAGCACACAGTCTGGCACCAAACCACCAGGCTGAAGTAATTACCACTCTGATCTTCCTACCACGGGCCCACCCCCTCGCATCCCCACCCTGCTCTGGCTCCATCAGTGGCTTGTTAGCTCAGCAGCAGTGGAGACACAGGGGTAAAGAGCAGAAGCACGTTCCCCCTCCCCCCAACTTTTGGTGGGTGGGTGGGGTTTCAGTTTCCTCAGTGTTTTTCCTCTCTGGACCAGGGTCCGAGCCTACACGGTGAGGACGCCGGCCGGCCAGTACCTCAGCTCTTCCACCAGCCCACACAGCTGGATAACTGACAGCTCGTTCTCCTCCTCCACCTGCAACTCGGAGACAGAGGGTTCAGAGTCCTCCTCAGTCATCGCTCTGCCGAAGCGGCCGTGGCCAATGTCGAGTGTGGCCAAGAGCGCCGAGGGCTAGGGGCCGCACGTCACTCCCTCGGGCTGCGACCTAGCTGCGCGTTGCCGGGGCAACCTGACGCGTGCGTGGGGGCGGGGATCCATGAGGCCCCGCCCAGTCACAGCCCCAGCCCCGCCCATCTCCTTGCCGACCAGAGCGAGATCACTGGCCTGAGCCAGGCTCTTGAGTGCGTTCGCTTTTACTTATTTAACAGTAATTCTTAAAATTATAATAATAGCTACTGTTTGCCCAGCAGTTACTATGCCCTTGGCACCCTGTTAGCCATAGTTTATGAAAATCCTTGCAACAACCTTGTAATAGTATCTACTCTTTGTTCTCCAAATGAAGAAACAGACCCAGAAAGTTAATTCGAATTGTCAGTGTCTTCCTTCCCCTACCTCAGTGTGAGGCTTCTACTCTGTTCATCACCTGGTGCTTCATACGTATTAACTGCAATTTCTCTCAGATACCAATATCCTGCATTCCTAGAAGGAAAAAGCTGGCAGATTATTAAATGAGTATAAATTCAAGACATCGCTAAATAGGCACTGAGTATCTTCTATATCTGGAGTATCTTGGGGAAATGTATGGAGCAGGCCATTCCAGCCCTGAGGGAGCTTCCCTATTTAATGAATGAGGGAAATAGCCTCTAAACCAACTGTTGCTATCTGAAACAATAGTAACAACGTCATGCCTCTCACCATTTCATAGTTATCATCTCAATCTTCAAAACAGTCTTTTGAAATTGGTTTTATTGTCTTCATTTTACAGATCAGGACACAGAGGAATAGAGTAGCTTTGCTGAATTACCTGTGTCCACACAGGAATGGAATCCAGCTCTGTCGGAACCCAAAGTCTGTGCCGTTTAACTTCTACACACACTGATGTGTGTCATGGTAGGGATTGGCAAGGCAGCCGGGTAGCTTTCTGTCTGTTCCCATTGGGATGGAAGAGGGCAGAGGGCAGAAGAGGCAAACTTCTCTGAAGGAGGGTGGGCACTGTATATGGTCAGAAAGTAAGCTGTGATAAACTGCTTGGGGTGGGCGTCAGCCACCTTCCCCTCCACGGGACATGCCTTAGCATCAACACACAGTCATTAAACTCCAGAGAAGGACTTCTGTTTTGCTGCTTAGGGTGCATGGGCTGGGGCTGGATGATGGCAGAGAGACTGAGCCCTGCTACCACTTTCTTCTCTCTGCTGGCAGCTCCACAGCAATGCAGACTACATTTAGAAATACTTAATATGCTCATATGCCAGCTGATACAAATGATGCCAGCCCCAAGAGGGCCTGGAGCAAGAAAGGGCTCTGCAGCAACAAGGCTATGGTACAGAACAGCCCTGTCAATTAGGGTATATGATAGAGCAAACCCTATGGTGTTTGGAGGTACCAGTGGTGGGAAAAGAGGCAACATGAAGCTTAAAGCAAGATCCAGTGGGAGAATCACAAAATACAGGACCTGGGATTTTAAGGAAAGATATTTTAGTTCACAGCAGGTAATTTCATGCCTTTTGAGAAACAGCTCCTGGCCTGTTACTAGACCTTGGTAGAGACAGAACGCTTGACCATGCCTTCAGTTCTGCCCATCATGACCTGGGTTCTGTTGGACCCATCGAGTCATAAACTGGTACAGGCCCAGCTTCAGTCCATTGTAAAATGGCAGTGATTCATCCAGAATCAAGTCCAGGCAGGAGCAGAGAGCTTGAATAAACTGCAGGAGCAGGTAGCCCAGACCAGCATGTCATCCACACTTGCACCAGTTCACACTTCTGGCCATATGAGGGGAGGGTACAGGGTCATGACCAGCTGAAAGAGAAGAAAGATGCACCCACAGGAGACTGGAGGGCGGAAAGAGAGAACCTCTAGGGTATTTCTTGCTGATGTCTCTCTGCTTTGCCATCATAGTTCTGGTGGGGCACAGTCCTTCTATGACACATGTCCTGTCTGGCATCCCCTCACTCCCAGCACCAGCTGTCACTGGACACTGGCTTCACCTTCATACATGGAATGCTGCTGGTCCCAGAGGCCTTACCAGCCTCGTCGGTTCCCTTAGCTCTGCCTAGGTGGGTGTAAATAGTCCCTTCACTAAAGTCTCTTCAGTTGAACTGAACGGAATTCTGTTTCCTGCATGATCCCTACTAAAAAACACATCTGGGATCCACCTACTTGAGGAATTCATCTTTGCTCCGAAAATGAGCTGTCCACTAGAAAGACAGGTCAGTTGAATATAAAGTCACTCAAAACTGTAGCCCATCAGTTCCTTTTCTTAGAGTCAGGCTTTGTGAGGGAGGAAGTACCTGGTGTGTAAAGGCAGTGGGCAAGTGCCTTAGAGGCGGGGGAGTCAAGAACAGAGTGTTCTAGTGGCTCAGGATTCTAGCCCTGACTTGGCTTCTGGCCACTGAACTTGGATAACTCACTCATTGTTTTTGCTCCTTAAATTCCATCTCTGTAAAATGAGGATGACACATTTTAAGTGACTACCCTACACATCTTACTAGCTTACTATCAGGCTCAAATGGGATGGAGTAAAAGAAAGTAGTAGGTTGGAAACTATGATGCCAAGATGTGCACCCTAGCATCTCCTCCATCTGGAAGGAGCCACTGCCCCAGTTTAGCAATAGTCCATAGCAGATTATTACATGAAAAACTGACTCAGCTTGCAGGCTTTAAACAATAACAATGATAATTGCCATTGTTATTTCTTAATCTATTTGTTAGCAATTAGATAATACTATTATTGCTTAATAAAAGCATTTCTACCAATTATTGTTTCAATCGCTGTTTACTGAGTGCTAGCTGTATCCTGGAGGCTGTACTAAGCATGTTCTACACATTCTGTCAGTGTACCAGCATAAGGGTCCTGGGAGACACTGGGACTTTCTTAACCCCCATTTTACTCATGAGGAGACTGAGGTTCAGAGAAGTTAAGCAACTTTATCAAAGTCATGTAGCTCTTCTGGGGGTAGGACTGAAATTCAAATCCAGGTTCATCCCACTCTTCTCTGTCCTCTCATCATATCCACCCCATTAGAGCGGTGGTTCTCAGCAGGGGAAGGGGATATTTTGCCAGCCACCCTCCCAGGGGACATTAAAAAATGTCTGGAGACATTTTTGTTATAACCAAGGGGGATGGTGTTATTAGCATCTAGAGGATAGACGCCAGACATGGTGCTTGTACTAGTTTCTCAGGACTGCTGTAACAAATCTCTACATACGGAAGGCTTAAAACAACATAAATTTATTGTCTCATAATTCTGAAGGCTAGCAGTCCAAAATCAAGGTGTTGGCAAGGTCACACTCCCTCTGAAGGCTCCAGGGCAGAATCCTTCCTAGCTTCTGGTTGATCTAGTTACTCCCAGCAATCCTTGGCATTCATTGGCTTGTAGCTCCATTGCTCCAGTCTCTGCCTCCATCTTCACATGGCCTTCTTCCTTGTGTCTTGTGTGTCCTCTCCACCAGTCATTAGATTCATGGTCAACCCTAAATCCAGAATGATCTCATCTCAAGATCCTTAACTAATTACATCTGCAAAGATCCTTATTTCAAACAGTGTCACATTCTGAGGTTCCAAGGGAATAGAAATTTGGGGAGATGCTATCCAAACCACAACACTGCAAAAACACCCTTCAATGCACAGAACAGCCCTCCCCCCCTAAAGAATTACCAGGCCCAAAATGTCAATAGTGCTGAGGTTGAGAAATGCTGCTTTAGAGAGAGACATTTCTTCGCTGGAACCAAGAAGAAAGTGCCTGTGCTAATTCAGACAGCTACAAATCAAAAGGGTCTCAGAGCAGCTTAAAGTCCGGAGACCACTCTCTCTCTCCACTTTTCTGGGACAACTTCTTGTTTTGATAGCCTCCAGTTTCTCTATGTGGATGCTGCCCCCTGCCTGGCATTTTTGTAGCACTTTACATTTTGATTTAAGAATGATACAGTCAGATCCACCCAAAGTATAAAGCTTCAACCAAATTTAAGAAGTGCACAGCCTTTTCTTCCCCAAAACAGAAGATGCTCAAAATCAGATAAAGGAACTCAGGCTCACGGGCAAGTAACTATTCGCACATTATGGGGAAGGGACCAGCTCTGAGCAGCCCTGAGAGATGGACCAGCATCTGATGGTTGCCAGAGCTGATCCACCTACTTGAGGAATTCATCTTTGCTCCGAAAATGAGCTGTCCACTAGAAAGACAGGTCAGTTGAATATAAAGTCACTCAAAACTGTAGCCCATCAGTTCCTTTTCTTAGAGTCAGGCTTTGTGAGGGAGGAAGTACCTGGTGTGTAAAGGCAGTGGGCAAGTGCCTTAGAGGCGGGGGAGTCAAGAACAGAGTGTTCTAGTGGCTCAGGATTCTAGCCCTGACTTGGCTTCTGGCCACTGAACTTGGATAACTCACTCATTGTTTTTGCTCCTTAAATTCCATCTCTGTAAAATGAGGATGACACATTTTAAGTGACTACCCTACACATCTTACTAGCTTACTATCAGGCTCAAATGGGATGGAGTAAAAGAAAGTAGTAGGTTGGAAACTATGATGCCAAGATGTGCACCCTAGCATCTCCTCCATCTGGAAGGAGCCACTGCCCCAGTTTAGCAATAGTCCATAGCAGATTATTACATGAAAAACTGACTCAGCTTGCAGGCTTTAAACAATAACAATGATAATTGCCATTGTTATTTCTTAATCTATTTGTTAGCAATTAGATAATACTATTATTGCTTAATAAAAGCATTTCTACCAATTATTGTTTCAATCGCTGTTTACTGAGTGCTAGCTGTATCCTGGAGGCTGTACTAAGCATGTTCTACACATTCTGTCAGTGTACCAGCATAAGGGTCCTGGGAGACACTGGGACTTTCTTAACCCCCATTTTACTCATGAGGAGACTGAGGTTCAGAGAAGTTAAGCAACTTTATCAAAGTCATGTAGCTCTTCTGGGGGTAGGACTGAAATTCAAATCCAGGTTCATCCCACTCTTCTCTGTCCTCTCATCATATCCACCCCATTAGAGCGGTGGTTCTCAGCAGGGGAAGGGGATATT